GGTTTCCGAGGACGATCTAACGCTGGGATCGTAAGCGCGAGGGAGAGCCGGGGGAGGAGGTGGAGGGGGAGCCCTTTCGCGGCCGCCAGCCCCCGAGCGGGGCCTTGGGTTTCACGCCTGAAGGCGGGGGGGTGGGTCTGGAGAAATAAAGCCCAGACATAGGAATAACTCTTGCTCTCCGGTTGATACATCCCACACAGTCGTATGGAGAAGCTGAGCTGAGTGGTTCCATGCCTCTTGGGTTGAAAACTTCTTTGAGAGAGAACACTCTCACTAAAATGATTTCAGCGTTGTTAAGTTGGCTGGAGGATGTGTATATTTAAATACGCAGAAAATAAAGCATTCGAAGTGTAACTTGTAACATTTTAATATAAAGCAGTATTTTGTAATCTTAAGTGGCCAGCAAAAATGCTATGTTAATTCGGCATCCTGACTACTTCTGATATAATTCTTTATTTGTGTATTAGGGAGATGTTTGATAACCCAAACATCAGGGCGTTTCATGTCCTTGCCCTCTACTTGTTTGGTAAGCTGGATCAGCACCATGCAGAAGAAGTTTTCAGGTTAGTATTTGGATTGTGAGGTTACTGCTGTGCACGTAATCAAGAATAGGCTTTGTGCAGTTGCTGAGGGGGTAAAAAAGTGGTCTCTTGGGAATACTGTGGAAAAAGAACATAAAGTCAGCAATTTGTTTCCTCTTGATCACAACTCTGTAATGTATCAGAAATCTTGCCTTAATTAAAGTTGTTTCTGATACTGTCTGTAACTTGGTGAGTTTGGTAAAAAAATTCATAGCCGCCAAGTCATCTACATTTCCCAGACCAAACAGTAAGTAACATTTCCCGGGTATAGATTGCTGCCAGGATCTTCAACATGGCAAGAACCCCCTTTTCCTTAATGTTTTTCCGTGTATAGCTGAGCTATTTTAGCTAACACATTAAAGAAGTGGCTGGAGGAATACCAGTGATATGAAAATTGTTGTGTCTCTGATGCCTTTTTTTCTTCCTCCCTTCTCCTGAGATAAAAAGAGCTGCAGACAAGTCTGTCTCTGAAATAGTCTGTAATAGTCTGAAAACCTTGTCATTTAGTAAGCTTTTAGCTATTCTTGGTCTAGGCTATATCCCCTAATTTTCTGGCTCCTCCAGGAGGTATCACTAAAATCTTTGTCATAGTCTTGTTCTTATAAGGGTTAATTAGGTAACTGAATATTTGAACATATTTTGAAATTACTTTTTTCTAAATCTTCTTTTTCCCCATCCTTTTTGAATGGAAAGAGACTGTTCCTCTCCAGTTAAAAAGCTCATGTGTGCTGACTTTCGGAAGCAGTGCTTCGTATGGCTGAAAGATATTGCAGTGAGTATTGGGAAGAGTGGAAATTGATGTTCTACTGGTTTCTGTGGCCTCATTCGTTTTTTTTGTTTGAGTGCTTTTAAATAAGAATTTTGAGTAAGGTTGTTTTACCAAAGAATCAGTTTTACCTTGTGTCTTATTTCACATAGTTTATCTTAGACTTGAGTTAAAAATTGTGGCGTGATGGAGTTTAAATGACAGAGACTTTATCTTGAGTCTTAAAGCTGCTGTGGCTTGCTTCTGAATAGTGGTGTTTGGTTAAACAGAATTCTAGAGGGTTCCTCAGCTCTAGGTGAGAGTAATTTTCTTCAACCTGAGAGATGTTTGTTTAAGTTCCCTGGGAAGGTGTTTGTTATTGTGAAAGTGGTCTTAGATGCATGGAAAACTTGTAATGTTAGTCTTGCCTTATGTATGGGGAAAGAGACTAAAGTTCAAGGTGAGCTTTCTAAAGGAAAAGAGACAAACCAAATCTGATTGCTTCAGGTATCAGTAGGTTAATATAGTATCTTCTCATGCTGTCTTTGTTTCTATGATAGTTCTAGAATCAGGCCTTTATGTACTGGAACACTTATTTTTTAGTAGTAATGGACAAGGTGAAAGCCAACAATGCAATATCTTTGAGTAAGACAAAAGCAGAACAAAGTACACTGATTAATTACTTCAGTAGAAAATATGAAAGAAAACCTAAATGTTTTTTCAAAGGTAGGGATTACCAATTAGGAGTGAGGAGGTCAGAGATTTCAACATTTACCCCACACTATTTTCAGTCTTTGTGTTGAAACTGTCTTTTGCCGACAGAACTAGGAACGGTGGGGGGTACATTTAAAAAGTTTTAGTCTCTTGTGCTGACTAGAGTAGATGTCAACTGTGATGGCAAAGTAGTTTAGCTTTGCATCAGTCTTGTTAGCAGTTAGGATGCAGTGTTTTGGTACTCAGCGAAATATTTGTTGGCTGTTGTTTAGGCTTTATTTCTTAGATTAGTTTGGTGTTTAAAACCAATTTTAACTTTTCTAGAATGAAGAGCAAACCTATCCTCCACAAATTACACCTTTTCCTCTTATTTCTCCTGGTGGTCCGAAGTTTATTCGCATATTTTATTGGTTTGCAAGACATGTAGTGATTGCGGACATCAACTCCATGGGTAAGCTCTAATGGAACAATAAAATGCTTCGTTTGTTATGTTTGACAGTGAATCTGAGCTTTAAGTAATTCTGAGCTGGCTGCTCAATTCAAAATCTTTCATAGGGTTCTGTGCACTTGCATAGAACTACTGTTGATAGAACAGTACAGATCATTTTCCTTTCTGTTGCTTTATGGCTTTTTCTGTGCTTTATGCTTTTTGCTCCAAGGTTCATCTGTGTGGTACTGTACACCATTACACATTACAAGCAATGTTTTGGTCCAAAAGTATTGGACCACTATACGGTACTCTTTCTCACAACTTGAGGAATTCTGAATGATCAGAACTGTCTATTATTCTGGGCATCTTGTATTGTTTTGGTGACCTAAAGAATAGGGAAGGGGAGGGAGAGTGAGGGAATTGAAAATGTATACGATAGAAGGAACTGGCAAAAAAGATTGTACAATGCATGCTCTATTTCAGTCCAGGTAGAATGGGTGTCTTGATTTGTGATTCCTTCAATTCAAACTAGGTATATTAGGCAGTTTTTGATTTACTAAAAGTGAATTATGTAATCCAAATATTAAATTTCATTTAGGCACTGATATACCTTTTGCTGAAGCTGTGAAACTGAGACCTAAGGATATGTACATGGCAAATGCAAGATGTAGAGTCGCACGCAATAAACTTCTGCAAATTTTTCAAAAGGAAGATTTTATTATGCAAGAATATAAGAAAAAAACACAGTAAGAAATGCATTTATAGAAATGGAATATTTTTATAAAAGCTGACTTCTATATGTGTGTTTTTTAAAAGATTTGAGGAGGCTGCATCTGCTTTATATCATGAATTCTCTTGAGATTCTCTCTGTTTTTCCCCTTTACCTCCTTTAATTGACAGTTCTGCTGTTTGTAGGGTCATTTGTAAAGCTTGGTAGTCTAAATAAATTAGTTCCGTGTTTAAGAGATGGTAAATTGTGGAAGGTATGGTTACTTGGGCATGAAAAATGAATAGGGCATTCTGCATGTGTAGCACTATGATTTCTTAATGTTTGCAGGGTCATGCAAGGGTGAAACATTTGGTCTTTGCTTAATCACTGTGGGACGCATTTTATTTACATAATCCATAATTGTTTAACCAAAATTGTGCTATTCTTTATTCAAGCACATGGAAAACATTCCCATTTTGTGAACAAGAATAACTGGAGCTTTCTCTGCAGGCACAGAGTTATGTGTCATTGGAATTTGCAGAATTTAGGTGGGATAGTTACAAGATTGGAGCACTGTCATGGGCAGTTGCAAGCTGTTCAGTAGATGACAGAACAGGAGGAGGAGTTGCACTGTAGGTAAAAGAGCAGTTTTAATGCAGGTGGCATAGCTCTGTAGAAGAGGACCGGTCTGTTTCATGCCTTTGGATCAAGAACAGAGGGTTTTGCATCAAGAGAGACCTCGTGGTGGGTGTCTGCTATACACCTCTTCCTCTGTATCAGGGAAAGTACATGAAGTCTTCTTCAAATGAATCAAACACACCTCAAACCTGCATGCCTTGATTCTTATAGAGGACTTTAGCTTACCCTGGTGCTTGCTGGGAAGGCGGTACAGTGAGTGGTACATTATCAATCTGGGAAACTGGAGTACATTGAGGATGACTTTGTAATGCAATCACTAGATGTGCTGAGTAGGAGTGGTGCTCTTTTTTAACTCACTGCTTACAAGTAAGAGATGCTTTTCTGGAGACATAACTGCCAATGGAAGCCTTAGGGTCACTGCAGCCAGGCTTGCGGGTGATTGGCTGGGGAGCAGCTCTGCCAGGAAGAACCAAAGATGAGAGTAGTGTTGGGCCACAAGCTGTGCATGAATCAGCAGTGTGTACTGGTAGCCAACAAGACCAACAGCCTTGTAGGCTGTATGAACGGGAGCACAGCCAGCAGATCAGGAGATGTATATCACTCTGCCTGGTAATTCTAAGGCCACACCTGGAATGCTGTGTTCAATTTTGATCCCTCCCAGTTGAGGAGAGAGATTGAAAGACAGGAGAGATTCTAGTGGAGGACCACAATGATTAGAGGGTTGTAGAAATTGGCATATATATTGGTGTGGTCGACACACTGGAGGGAAGGGATGCCATCCAGAGGGACCTTGACAGGCTGGAGAGGTGGGACAATGCAAACCTCATGAAATTTAACAAGACCAAGTGCAAGGTCTTGCACATGGGTTGAGGCAATTCCAAGCACAAATACAGGCTGGGCGGAGAATGGATAGAGAGCGGCCCTGGGGAGAAGGAGTTGGGGGTATTGGTTAATGAGAAGCTCAACATGAGCTGGCAGTGTGTGCTTGCAGCACAGAAAGCAAACTGTATCCTGGGCTGCATCAAACGAGGTGTGGCCAGCAGGTCGAAGGAGGTGATTCTCCCCCTCTACTCTGCTCTGGGGAGAGTACTGTGTTCAGATGTGGGGCCCCCAACATAAAAAAGACCTGGACCTGTTGGAGAGAGTCCAGAGGAGAGCCACAAAATTAGTCAGAGCACCTGGAGCACCTTCCCTGTGAGGACAGGCTGAGAGAGTTGGAGTTGTTTAGCCTGGAAAAAAGAAGGCTCTGAGGACACCTAATTACAGCCTAAAGGGGGCCTATGGGAGAGATGGGGAAACACTCTGTATCAGGGTGTGTAGTGACAGGACAAGGGGTAACAGTTATAAGCTGAGAGAGGGTAGGTAACAGGTTGCCCAGGGAAGCTGTGGATGCCCCCTCCCTGGAGGTGTTCAAGGCCAGGTTGGATGAGGTTTTGAGCAACCTGATCTAGCGGGATGTGTCCCTGCCCATGGCAGGGGAGTTGGAATTTGATGATCTTTAAGGTTTTTTCTGACCCTAACCATTCTATGATTCTATGAAAAGCTGCAGAAATTGTATTTGTTTAGCCTGAGGAGGACAAAGCTCATGGAGTTTAATCACAGTCATCCAAAATCTAAAAAGTATTTGCAGAAAGGTAGGGGTACTCTCTTCACAAGGAGATATGGTGACAGGAAAAGTAGCAACAGGGCCAAGGTACTTAAAGGAAAACACCATCTGAATGAAAAAAAAAGTCTCATGTGAGAACCATTAAACACTGCAATAGGTTGCCCAGAAAAGTGGTGGAATCTCCCTTGCTGGAAACATTGAAGACTTGGCTTGACAGAGCCATGAGGAACATAACTGAAGGCCCTGCTTTCAAACAATGTAATTTCCAGAGGTCAAAGTCTCCTGAACTTATCTGATTCCTATAATTCTGGATCTCTTCTCACCTTGCTTGGGACGTGTTAGTGCTCTTGCTTACCTTCAGAGTGGCACTTTTCAAAAGCATAATTCTCTATAGATTTTTTTATTTTCAACAAGCCGTCAGAACTCTGATCATCCTTTAGAATTCATTATGATTAAGCCACCTAGTGGTTCTGAAAATCAGGTCACTGAGTTTTTACATGCTTACAAAGTTAATAAGAGCACTTGGTCTTTGGGAAAAGACCTTTAGTGGTCCAGCTGCTTGTACTCCAGTATTCTGTTCTCTAATTTTTTTAAACTGAGGGATTTGGGTGCTGTACAATTGCTGAATATATTTGGAAGTTTATACTGGTAAAATACATTTCTAATAACTTAATTGTTGCTCTTGTGTCTAATAAAAAGCATTCAATTTTGATAGAATAAGTGACAGCTTAATGGCTTAATTTACAAATATCTTGGTGGCTTTCCTGGCCATCTTTCTGAAAAAAGTCATGGTGAGGAAGTCAAGGATAAGGTGTTTTTGCATCATTCCATTGGTTGGTAATTGTAAGAAATTCTGAGAATAGCAGAGTAGAAACTTGGATTTTTTTAAAAATATGTGGTAACTGCTAACTTTTTTCCTAGACTTCTAATTAAAGATATAAAAGAGATAAAGTCTGAATATGCCGTCCTGCAGATGCAGTCTTGCAAGTAAGTGTTTTTCCTTGTAACTAAGTTAGCATATATAAAATCGATTTCTTCCTCTATTTTATGAAATATGAACTGTAATTTCATTGTAGTCCACTTGAACTTTTGTTTTGCATGTGCATATAGGATGAAACAAGATGACCAAAACAAAAATGACAAAACTGTGAGAATTCAAAAGGTGAGCATTTTTTTCTACTGTGGTATCATACTGTATTTCTTCTTATATTTCTGCAACACTTAGATGCTGTTATTTCTGCTTGTCTACCCGTGATTGTGCTAGACCCTTCATCTGCCTTTATGCTGTTTTGATACTCTGTCATTACAGGTAGCAAACATTTTAACACAGCGTTCTTGTCCTTCTTGCCTATTAAGGTCCGCAGTATGTGGACACTTATAGTGGAAATACTTAGGTCTCTGAAAAAGGAAAAGGAAGTTGTGGATTCTGAACTTGATGTACTTGAAGGTTGTGTTGGTCAGTGCGTTTTAGATGGAACTGATGTTTTCAGTGTCCCACAGCTGTTGGCTCGCAGAGTTGAAAGTGACGTACACCAAGTAAGTGATTTTTGTCCTTCTTGCTAAACTGCGTTTTTTTTTTTAAGTCCCTAGGGGTGTAATTAAATACCTTTTTTTAAAAACGTACTTCACAAGTGATAAGAGATGATTGCTCAAGGATAGAGAAAATATGTCTAATCCATATGTAAAAGTTTGTTATGATTATGCTGCAGTTTTCTATTGGTTAGGTTTCAGCCATTAACTTGTTAAGTTCAATAACTGCTCTGGTAAGTCTACCTGATTGATACTTGATTTTTTGTTGTTGTTTAGACATTAAAACTAGGTTGACCAATTTAACTTATTGCTTTAACTAATGGGCTGTTATTTCCAGTGTGTAGTATATGGTGCTGATTAGGCCTGCCACATCTTTTGGGGCAGTGGTTAAACAGAGTATCTTACTAGTTGAAGTTTCCTTAGTTCGTAGTGCTTTATGGGCTGCTTTTAAGCAGCTGATTCTAGAAAACAAACCTGAGGCTTAAATCTAGAGCATGTGTTGTTTTTTTTTTTTAAAAATAAACGGGAACTGAATCAAAATACAAAGTGGAACTTTGTATCCCTGCTCTGACTACAGAAGACATAACTTTCCGACATTCGTGCTGTTCACTAATTCTTTTTTTCTTACTTACTATACTTCAAGCTTTGTACAGGAAGTGTATATGAAGCTGAAAAACTGAATTTCCTAACAGTCATTGAGTTATTAAATGAAGCCCTGAGGGCACTGAGAGATGAATGTTGTCGTCAGTCTGAACTAAAAGAACAACTTCAGGTCATTGAGAATAGGATTTCGTGCTCCAACAAAGTACTACAGGATGTGGAAGCACGCAGGTAATTGTCTGGAAATTTTCACTGGTTCCTTGTTCTTTAATCCAAGTATCATGTCTTCGTACCTTGGAGCCTTTTCTAAAATAGTATAATTTATAGTGAGAATATGTTGGTTCAGTCTTTTTCCTTTGCCTCTGGGAAATTCACATTTGTCATGATGATCTATATAACTTTTAACTGAGATTCTTTAGGTAGCTTCAGCTTTTTGCCCTTGCTTCATTAATATTTTAAGGCTTTGTTCCCAGGTACCTCATTTGCTAGCTGATCTGATTTTGTTTTTGTTTTTTTTTTTTCTTGCTATGTTAATCAGGTCTGGGATTTAAAAAATGTTATCTGAAACTGGCTTAGGGACAGTTTGTGTGTATCTCATTGTGTGTATGTATTTAGTATAGTTCTTCCAATTCTACTGTAAGAAACATGAAGACTACCTAGCAGCTGCTTTTTTGGCTGTGAATTTCAGTTAGTTCTTAGTGCATGCACAAATGCATGAATAAATTGATACATATCAAAGATTTTGTAGGATAAGGGGAACACATACTCTCCATCTTTATGCAGAATTATTATCTCCGCCAACAGCTGTGTTATGTTCATTTTCCATCCTCGTATGTTACAGGCTAAAAAGGCAACGGCTTAGTGTGTCAATCAGTGAGTCTATTTCTAGGAATCGGGAAGACTGGAAAGTGAAGTGGAAAAGCTTTCTTGGCCTGTGTCCTTTTAATTTAATATTGGATCAGAATCCAGTAAGTATTTGTCTGATTCCGGGGAAGAGAAAGAGTGAAAGTGAGAGAGGATGTACGTCTCATCTGTTGTGTTCTGTTGCAACGCTTAAGCTTTATATATAAGGTTAGGGAATCAGATAGCACAATATAGCAGAAATTGCTTTATGTAGTCTTTCTTAAAGAAGAAACATTTGACTTAATGACAGATGGTGTCTTCATTCAATATGGGGGATGGAACCATCTTGTCAAGAGCAGCATAAGAGTGAGCTCATTGGTTTTGGTTTTGTCCGTCCTTCTGTGGAGACTGAGCTTTCGTGTGCTGTCTGAACGTCTGTTGAGTTCTGTTTTTTGCTTTTAAAGTGATCTCCTTGATGAATGCACATTAATGTCCATTCTGACACTCACATTGATACAGGGATCTGAGGTTATACACTTTCCTAACTACCCAGCAGAGAGAGGAGGAGTTTCAGGTTGAGTCTGAGAGCTGGTTTGCAGAAAAGCTATTGTAGATAATTGTCTGTTCCTTGCTGTTGATATGCAGGATTTTTCAGTCTGGTTGTGTTTTTTTCTTTTGGAAGGAACTTGCTTTAAGAGCTTTGCCACCCCATTCTCATAATCTTGCAGAAGAGGAAGATGAGGATAGTGTCTTTTGTCAACATCTAGCATCACTTGCAGGTGGGTAAAGATGAGGAGCTTCTTTTCCTTCTCTTCCTGCTCCCCCACCACAATTAGTAAAAGTTACTTGGAGTTGAAAAGACTCCTTGCTTGTATTTGCAAGTGTGTTTGATAGTCTCTGATAATCTGGTTCTGAATGACTCCTTGCCACAATTGCCTTAATGTTTTTCAACCTTGTACTGTCTCAAAAGATTCTCTGAAGCTTTTGATATGGCAAAAAGATAATACTGGAGCTGTTTGGTATTTTGTTGTTCTTGCAAGAAGGATGTTGAGACAGATTTCTGTGTACGAAGGTTCATTCATGGGTTCTAGAGAGTACATTCACTTTATCAGTAACAGTTGCTTCAAGTTGGAGGAGTAATAAGAAAGAGAGAAAGAAGATAAAACTTTTCCCATTGTCCAGCTGGGAAAAGAAATTGAACATGTCCTCC